GTTTAGTTTTATTGTTGTAAACAACACTGTACTTGCAGATATCCTAATAGGTAACATTTCTTTAAAAGTGAAAACTCGCACATTTTTCCCAATAAATTAATTTGCAATTGAAAATTGTATTGTATTGTTTAAAATTTGCTTAATATTCAATGTAATTGATAAATCATGCTTTCATTACAATTTATAGGTTATTTATGTATAAAAGATAATATAGAAGATCTATTATTCAATTTAGAAAAAGTTTTCTTTGAACAGATAAAAACTATTTCATGCACACATTTTTTCAAGTTCAAGCAATTTAGCAAAAGAAGTCTTACAAGATTTTTTTATGGTTTTAAGTCATAATCAGGGTTGGGCATTTTTGCACTACCACTGTTTATTCAGTGGTAGTTAAAATGCAAAACCATTACCACTGAAAATTTAGTGATAGTGAAAAAGAACTTGCATTATCACTAAACCTTTAGTGATAGTGAAAAAAATGCACTATCACTAAACTTTTAGTGAAACATGATCTTTAACTAAACACATTTGAATTTATATTTTGTTCGATATTAGTTATCAACTAGTTTGTTGATAAAAATGCTTTTTGATGTATAGGTGGTGTAACTAAACTATGACTTTAAGCCAATCTAGCTAAATAAATCACGACTTCTTGGTGTCAACAGCAGACTCATTCATTTGGCACTCTCGAAATTGCAATGCAGCTCATTAGTAATGAGTATAGATAGGCAGGCGGCAGCGTTGATGCGGATTAACTTGTTAATTCGGATTTATCTCGGGAGTTAGCTGCAGTTCATCCAGATCAAGTTAACAACTAACTAAAAACAACATTAAATAATATAGAAGTTATACTTGAATAGTGATGGGACGGTATTTGAGGAACGGTATTTTGAAGCGGTATTTTTGAGGAGCGTACCGCTTCCACGCAATTTTAAAATACCCGTTACAGAACGTTACTAATATACTTACATATTTGTAGTGATGGTACGGTATTTGAGGAACGATAATTTGGAGCTTTATTCTAATGAAACGTACCATTCCGGGGCGCTTTTTAAAATACCCGATTCCAAACGTTACTAAAATTTTCAAGACAGTCAGGTTAAACGCCGTTATATTGATATTTGTTCAAAGCTCCCTGAATATATTTTTTTTCAATTTTCGGATAGCGTGTATTTTTTTAAAATTATGATTATTATGGGTAGAGAATATTTAATTTTTTCTTAATTTTCTTCTTTTGCTTAATTTTCACGCTTAATGGTCACGGTATTTTGGAACGGTTTTTTTGTGTAGCGACCGTTCCTGGAGCGCGAGACGGTTTTGAGCGGTATTCCCATCACTATACTTGAATGAATAAAAAAAAATTGAATTAAAATTCTACTGGCAGTGGGACTCGAACCGACAACTTCGCGGCACAATTTTGATCAGATCAACTGCACCATTAATCCGGATCAACGTTGCCGCTGTCTATGCTTTTAGTTACTATGGATATATTTAAGTGAGTAAATAGGCGAACAAGTACTATTTTTGGTTCAGTGCCGCTCGTATTTTTTAGTAAAATATTGCAGTGTTCAAAGTGCTTCAGTTTTGTAGTGGACAAAAATTATATTTTATAAAATGAGTGTTAATGAAATAGATTTTGGTGACGATTCATTGGCTGATCCCACTTTCGAGCCCAAACCTGGTTCGAGTAAACAAATTCGAATTAATGAAACAACGGAAACTACCAGGTGTGTACGTACTATCAGTGATAATGGGAGTACTGAAGAATTTCATCAAAAGCAACTTTCTGGCGTGAATGAAATTCTTTTTAATGGAGAATTTTTCAAAATAGTGGAGCAGGTATTTTTAAGTTCAATACTTGCAAATCAAAATCTACATATATTATACATATACACATATATTTTTATCACAATGTTTATTTAAGAGAGCTTCGACTCCATACCAAACGAAAATGGTAGGTATAATCGAAAATGGTAAGTATGCCTTAAGAAAGTTAAAGGTTCGCTACGCGTAAGCTCTAACTTTATACACCACTTACGGGAAAAATATCCACGCACATTTAATGATTTTCAAAAGAAAAGATCTGAAACCAGAAAAAGTTTGCGTGCTAGATCTGCAACTGATCGAGATCTTCTTTCTTTTATTTGCGAAACGTGCTCTCCATTCTCTATTATCGAGCATCCTAGTTTCTTAAAATTGCTCCCCGAAAGAAGGATCCCCAGTAGACGTACAATAACCAGAATGCTTTCCGAGAGCCAAGCGGAGTTCAAACAAAAGTTGTCAGCAGATCTGGCCAAAATTGAATTTATATGTGCAACAGCTGATATTTGGTCTGGAGGAAAAAGAGCGTTTTTTGGATACACATGCCACTGGCAAGAGACAGATACCTTAGAAAGAAAGTCTGCAGCCTTAGCATGGTTTAAAGATATATATTCTTTTGATCGAATAACAGATAGCATTCGCGAAATCAATGGCCAGTACAATATATCAGTCGGCAAAATACTATATACCATAACCGACAATGGATCAAATTTCGTCAAGGCATTTAGAGAATTTGGAGTTATTCTGAGTAACATGTTGTAAAATCTTGTAAAAAAGTTAAGCATTAATAAATTATTATTTTCGAGAAAAAAGGTGAAAATGAGAGCGACAATGACGATAAGCAGTCAGAATACTCCAGCCCTGAGTTTCACAATTATACGCCAATTTTGTCAAAGCATTTTCAATGTGCTAGCCATACGCTCAACCTTTTGGCCACTACCGATTTTATAAAAATATTGGCTCAACAAATCAGGCAGTTCATAGCATTCATAAAGCTGCTTTCAACAGGTTAGAAATAAAAATTCGAGCTTAAATTTATTAAGGGTACTCATTTAAAGGTGCAAAACTCTCGAAAACTGGACAAACTGTGCAATTTTAAACCCTCGCAAATGAAATATCAAAATTTGTATGGAAAGTCTTTTGAACAAAAGGGCCACTTTGCGCGTCAATTTTGTCACGCAAATTTGTGCAGCGTGCTGTGCAGTCCTCAATCAGCTATTTTGATGAGTACCTTTATTATATGTGTATTAACTTTTTACATTTTACTTAACACAGGTGTACAAAACTATGGAATAAATGTAATAGGCCAAAATCATCGGAAATAATGGGTTTGTTCCAACAAGCGGTCGGACTCGTCCGTTACTCGTCAAATGCAATCGCACATGTCAAGTAATGTCTTCACATTTCAGCGGATTTCATTGCATTATTTAACTGTGCGATTGCATTTGACGAGTCCACGACGAGTCAAATCGCTGGTTGAAACAAACCTAATAAAAACAGTTTTATCTTCGTATCTGGTTACGGCCTTGTGTTACAAGGTGGAACTCACTGTATGATTCGGTTCAGAAGCTAATAGAAGTCAAAACCAGATTAGGTGAACTATGCTACACGCTGGAAATTTCTACTTTTAATGAGGAAGAAATTTAATATTTGGAAGAATATGTAAGAGTAATGCAACCTATCGCAGAAGCTATCGACTTCCTTCAGAGAGAACAAAATATGTTGTTTGGCTATTTCATTCCCACTTTAGTGTCCATCAAAATAAAAATGCGACGTTTAGCTTCCGAAAACTTGAAATTTCTTGCGGAAATTAATATTCAAATGCAATCAAAGTTACTGGAGAGGTTTGAAAAATATTTTCGTTTGCAATTATTATTCCCGATATCAAATTAAAAGACTATGCGCTGCAGTTTAATAGACAACCGGTAGGGGAAGAAAATAATTTACAGCCTTCCATAAGTGCCAATACATCATTTCTCGAATTTGAAGACGAGTCCACAGGTATTCGATTAAAAGAAACCAACCTACGAAATTTTTGTAAATAACTTCTTTTTTTAGATGAAAATCAATATATATTATAGACTCCCATGGCGGAGCTATAGCAACCGAAGTAATTTTGTACTTGAATGACGATGATTGCACGGTTTCCTATTATAAAAAAATGTTTTTAAAATACAAGACGCCTCTTCCTTCCTCTGTGAGAGTGGAAAGACTTTTTTCCTTTGTTGGAATTGTCAATCGATCAACAAGGCAAAATCTTGCCAACCGTAATTTTGAAATGTTGGTATTAAAAAAAGCAAATAAAAAATGAATTATGTTTTCCTACTTTTGGTATGGCATAATTAGAAGTATCTACTCAAAAATGGTTTATTTTGAATAAATTTCTTTATACTGCTTCAGCTTTAATAGTCTTACTTTTATTCTTCAGCAGTGTTATGTTACTGACGATGAATAATAATGTTAATTATCAATAAAGGTTTTCACTATCACTAAATATTTAGTGGTAGTGCAATTTTTTTTCACTATCACTAAAAATTTAGTGATAATGTAATAATAATGTTAATTATCACTAAAGGTTTTCCTAAATATTTAGTGGCAGTGCATTTTTTTCACTATCACTAAAGATTTAGTGGTAATGTAATTTTTTTTCACTAGCACTAAATATTCAGTGATAATGAAATTCGTGTTTTAACTACCACTGAAGAAGTAGTGGTAGTGGAACGCTTATTGCATTTATTTTTTAGTGCATTATGCCCAACCCTGGTCATAATACAGAATCATTATTGTATACATTAACCCATTTACGGTCGTTAGAGCACCACTTTTAAAAAAATCGTCTTGGTAAACATATTTTTTGCAATAATGAATAATTTTTTTCTAGAATTTATTTATTTTTTCTACCTTGGCCATAAATGGGTTAATTGGTGATGCGACAAGTCTAAGTATCAAGTGATTCTTGAAGTTGATTTTAATTTTTAAAGTTATTTTTTGAGATTAATTTTAAAGCATTGGAATCGATTCTCAAAAATAAAATCAATTCATAAGAATCAAGTCTATTCAAATCTGATTCGATTCGAATTGATACCAAAAGTTGCTGATACACCTAATACACAAAAAATTTTATCAATTTTATCTTGATTAATTTATGAACAAATTTGACAAAAAAATTAAACTATTACCTGTTAAATTGAGAAATTGTCTTCAAAAGTTAGACTACAGGAAAACCATAGTTGATGTCATTATATTGCTGAACAAAATAACTTTCTTAAAGGTGTTTGTAATTTCAGTGCATGTTTAACTGGTGCACAACTGAGACAAATCGGTACTATCTATACTTTTAAAGGATTGGCCTCACCTAAAATACAAAAAAGAATAATAGATAAAAATTTTATACCTATAGAAATGTATTATTATAACTAATCAGAAGTAAATGTCCTCAATGTATTTTTTATCTATCATGATAGATTTAGATGCACACACTATTTATGAATATATTGCATTATATTATAATTGTTTATAAATTAAACAACAATTCAAGCTAAGGAAGAGTTACATAGCCTTGATATCACAGGAACCACCAGATAAATTAGCATTAGGGATTATACAATTTCATTAAAATTTTATCAAAATCAATAAATAAAAAATTAAAACTAAGCTAATTATTCAAGTAGTATACCTTGGGCAGCTCGTAAACGATTTTTAAATTCTTCGACAATTCCCTAAGGTAACAAGAATTATTCTCTCAAGTTCTAGGATTCTGATTTTTTGTTCATTAGAAGTATTTGGTCTAGTGGTGTAAATTTAAAGGAAGAAGTACAGCAGAGTCAAATCGGGCCTCTTCTCCGAATCTATCAATTGGAAAATAATTGGTTTAAATATACTCGAGCAGGAAGGGCATAGTGTAGTGGCGCGCCGTCTTGTTGGAGAAATCACTGCTACTGGAATTGAATTTATTTATTTATTTATACATAATACATTTACTATTATAAAATAATATAAGTTTCTTGTCATTTTACATTTTTTAAACAAATTCTTACCTCTTCCATGCCGACATCTAGTTCTTAATCATCTTCGAAATGCAGAATTGAAAATCTGCCTCTTTTTTGTTCTTATTCGATGACAATTGACGGAAGTTTTGACGTAAACGTTACAAGAGACATTATTGCAATATTTGTACATTTCTACACCGCTGTTTACGCAAAAACTGTTAACACCAGAAAAGAACCTTTTTGGAGATCAACTGTCAACTTGACAAACATGAATGGAAACCAGAATGGCGGCCAGATGTCAAGTATGAGCAAGGTTGCCAGGTCTCAGGATTTATCGTGAGATCTCATGACATTACCTTTAATCTCACGATCTCACGATTTGACATGTACTTCTCACGATTTTATTACAAAAATAATATAATAATTTAGTGTTAATAAAATCAAAGTAAAATTATAGCATTTTCAACTCGAATTGTAGATTACTGTAAATTTCTCTATTAGTTACATCTATTCGCCGCTAGATGGCGCTAAGAAATTGCTCAAACTAATATTTTATTTCCTTAATTATATCACTTTTATATACAGAATGAGTCAGAAAGAATGGGAAATCCGAATACCGGAGATACTAGACACCAAAATATGATGATTTAACGTAACATCTCTTATACAAATGTCAGTGGTTTTCGAGGCATAGGGTGTTGAAAGTTAAATTCTTATTTCGAAATTTCTTTATAATTTAATAATCATTTTTACCAACAATAAAGTTATTACCAATTTAATTGGTAATAGGTAATAGGTATAATTGTTATGGTGAATTACCATACCTCAACTGATAAAATAGTCATGACTTGATATCTCAAACGTACAGTGTGCATCTAGCGCCCTCTACGAGTAATCACAAAACAAATATCAAATTCGTATTTCTCATGCTCGAAAACATCTAACTACCAAATTTTATGTTAATAGTACAAAAACCTTCAAAATTANGGGAGCAACTGTGTGGCGCCTTAAAGAAATTTTACCCGACCCAATCTCCAACGCGAACCGTTTGTGAGTGGATATGAAGCCAGACGCTAGACATCACTTGAATGTGAATGACTGCAGTAGCAAATTACATAAACAAATTCATGTAATTTTTATATGTCGTAGAACCTTCACTTATGTGTCGTGCAGAAATAATACATCGATAGTATTTAAGTATTCAACACACCAAAATAATCAAGGAGTCAATGTAAGCATTAAGTGAGTTCTCATATGAAAACTCTTCCAATTGTAAAATCGATGATTAGTGTAGTTAATGAAGACTAGTTTGTCACCAGTTGTCGACCATTGGAACCAGTTTGAGACTTTGGAGCCTTGAATACGGGGAGTACAACTCACTTTGTGAACGGAATCAAAAATATGTAAATGTGTTCAAACCTGCCCAAATGTGTGTTTGTATTAATTTATATTAGATAAAAATATGGGAAGACTTGTGGACCGTTCTACCAAAACACTTTCTCTTCGACTTGAATATTTTCCGAACTCCGTTGGTCGATTTGAATATTGTCCGACCGAAGACTCAGCTTGACCAGTTTTTCGGCTAAAATACTAGTTCCGGTAAATGTTTCTGTTTAGATTTTTATTATTTTAGATAATCGCAATCATTGTTCATTCAATGATCTGATTGAATTGTTATCGGCTCGATAGCACCAGAAGTAATGAAAAGCTTTCGGGAACAAGCTAATTGCATGATGTTAAAATCCCCTCACTATCTTTTGATAGGTTAGAATTTTCTACTGAAGTTCTCAAAAATCTTTGCCAATTGACGTATGAACAAAAACTACAGCTTTGTTACTACAGCTTCGATTTGTTGCAACAAAGAAACTTTAGTGTTGCCTAAACTCGTAATCAACATCAAAGATTAACGAAACGTTTACCCGCTGATTTAAAAGAATTTCTATCGATTGTAACCGCAGAATAAATTTAATTCTAGCAGTACAATTTCGTTAAAATTATCAAAAAGTACATAACCCTAGTGGCACAAGAAATTACATTTGGATAGATTATCCTACATATTTTTCGACACCTTCAAAACAGAAATAAGAAGCATTCTTTGCTAATAAGAAAAATATCTTCAGACGACCGCATATGTGAATGTCATTTTATTTAAACATATTTTCACGATTTTAACGGTCGATTTATCGTACAATTTTTTAAAAGGTTTCTTCTTAAACCTGTACTATTTTTTAAAATTTCCCCTAAAAGTGAAGTTCATTACATCGTATGGAACTTTTATCTTCACCCGCATCATGGAGTCCAGTTAACTATATTGATATTGAAGACTTAAATGGTTGGGTTGGGTTGTGGCCTCGCAAAATTCGATCATAGGCCAGTAATCTGCCCGTATCTTTTCAAGCGGTTTATCGCTTAGGATAATGCGCTTCCTGGTTCGAACGTCACACAATACTTTAAAAGTGGTAAAGTTCCTATTCGGTGTCCATTGTCGCAGATTATAACGTCTGACCCTGGATTCGACCAAGCAGTGGCGAACATAGACCTTGAAATCATCGTCACCGGCATATATTACCATAGTTCTATACATTTCATAGCTCATTAATAATTTTGTGTTTGACTTCCATTTATTCAAAATTTCTCTCGTCTTCTCAAATGTTCGAAACAATTTCGCTGCTTTTAAAATGTGAATTCTTGCAGCGCCACCTATACCGTTGCCGGTTAGGGTGGTATACCGCTTAAGGTATTACGTCTTCCAAGCTAGCAGTGTACGAGCGAGAACAACACACAAAATAGTGTGCCGATGAGATCTTCTGAAATAAATATCGGAGAATGCTATTATTTAAAGTTTCTTTCCATTTGGTCCAACAGNGTACTTTGATATATGAACCATGGGCGACTTCGGCTCCCCTAAGGAGCTACACCCCTCCAAAAATGGCGGAAAATTTTGGTTTAATTTCTTTTTCTCAAAAATCATAAACGCTAGGAAAATGAAATTTGGGGAATATGTCTAACTCATAATAGGGCACGTTTTGACCCTATTTGTACTTTCAACCTACCCTAAGTTTATATATCAAAGTACCCTTAAAATTCACTAAAGAATCACCCCTTGAAGTTTGTTGCAGTCATTCAGATACACCTGTATAATATATCAAAATTATACTCTTCCAATTTTATTTTCCATCTGATTAGTCGGCTACTTGGTTCTTTCGAACTCCACAGAAATACCAATGGTTTATGATCAGTGTATATTGTAAATTTCCGGTCATATACGTAAGGTCGAAAATGTCTAACGGCGTAGACTATTACCAACAATTCCTTTTCTATAGTGGAGTACCGTCGTTCGGTTGGTGATAGGGTTCTCCTAAAGTAACATATTGGCCTATCTGATCCAATAGGTCCTTGCGATAAAACAGCTCCCACTGCTACGTCGGAGGCGTCGGTGGTTATTACAAATTCCTTCTTAATATCCGAGTATTGGAAAATAGGCTCATTCGTTAATATTTCTTTACATTTTTCAAAAGCAGATTCGAATTTCTCAGACAAACGCTTAGTCAGAGGTTTGGTTAACTCAGCAAATTTGCTCTTCTAACTCAAACAATGGTCTCACATTAGTTTTCATTAAATTTTAATTTGTTTGTATCTATCAGGTATCAAGTATTAAAGATAACGTAATTAAATTCGGTCCCATTTGACACGTTTCAGGTGGTACATAAGCGAGTCCATTGATCATATTATTCACTTGATACTCAATTACTTGTGAGGTTCTTGGTAATACTCTACTGTAGGTGTTTTGAAAATTTCTTTTTTAGTATCCATTTTCCCTTTTACTCACGTCGTATACGTTGGAAAAATCGAAACAAAAAAATACCTGATCATTTTCTTCTTTTAATATGTCTGGCATTCGTGCTTTAATAGACTTGATAGTAGTTTCGTAACTACTACATTCATATATTGTGAGTTATATGAAATTCTCAATATGCCCGTTGCAGGATCTTTTAAAAACTTATATGGTTTTTATGAACATGAATGACATTTTTGCCGATTTTTCCTTTAAACTATGTCAAATAATAGTCAAAGCCAGTAGGTAAGTAATAATATCCAAAGATATTGAAAACTTTGTAAATTTTAATGTTTTATTGATGTTTTATGATTATTGTACATAATATTGCATTCTGTCCATTTTTGTCAGTTTTTTTGTTTATCTCTCATTTATAAATTAGTACTTTAATTAGTACTGATTTAACTTTAATTATATAATATCGTTTATTGTTACTNTAAAATGAGAGGTTATACCTGTTCCATTCAACGTGATCTTCAAGAAATTAACCAAGAAAATGGTTACTGAATCCAAGGATATTTGTTTAAATATATATTTAGGATAATTATTAGGATATTTATTTATTTGGAAAAGGGAAAATTTAGAAATTAATTTAATTTTTTATATATGTTAAGAAATATTAAAATATGTTGTTAAAAACTCCGGTGATGTCATTCAATAGTGGCTTTTTAGTATTTTCCTTACTGGAATGTATAAAGAACTCTTCATATAGGTTAAGTTCCATGGATTTGTTGACATGTTTTAGTAATCTTATGTTTTCAATATATGTCTGCAGAGTGCTCGTGTTCTTTCAGGTGTTTGCAGAATATGGAGGAATCCTTAGTAAGATGTTCTCGTGCTCTAGCTCTTAGATTCCTGTCCGTCTGACCTATACAGTATATCCCCGGATCGAGTTACAAAAAGGAAAAAAAAATTTATTACTGATTTTTCAAACTTATTTCAGCATAAATAATGCGTCGGATATGTTCAAACCACTAAATCGCACGAATTTTATACTTTAACTATAGAAGTTAACCAATTATTCCCATTTTTATGTAAAAATAGTTTGTAAGTGAACAAATCAACTATTCGGCACACATTTGAAGACAAGTTCTAAATTCTTTGCAAGAATTACGAATTTCCGCCAGTGGTAGAGATTCTATCGCATTAATTATTCTTAGTTTTAATAGTCCTGCATCGCCTTGTAATGGTTCACTGTAAACAATTTGTTTCAATCGTCCCCAAAAATAAAAATCCATAATTGTAAGATCAGGATTATGTGCTGGTCATAAAATGTGACCATTCGGTTACAATGTGTGATGGTGACTAACCACTCGTCTCGCTGAAAGTACGTTGGCCGTATAAAATTTAAGGGTA